CCAAACCGGAAGTAAAATGCAAATACCATACAATGCAAAGCCCCCCCCCCAGTAACAGACACGAGTGAGTATTGATGACGCAAATATTCCCCCTCCTCTACCACCACCACCGTCAGAACAGAGTGTGGCAACCCACAGGCACACCGGAAAACGGACACTGCAAGGGCGCAACCGCGCAGGGAGGGGGAAGGGAAGGAAGGAAGGAAGGTACGGTAGAAAGAAAGGGAAAGCATCACACTCTCGGGATGACGTTTTCGGATCGTCATAATCCAATCTACGAATGATATCAGTGCTATACCGTAACAGCACCAGTAAGTTAGATGGGACAGTCGGTACCATACATATCATACCGTACAGGTGATTGTGTTTAACCCGTCGAACCCTGATAGATCGATTAGGGGGGTTGGCGGGGCGATTCCCCCTGGCACTTGTATAGTATCGTGATCGGGTGGTGGGTTATCACTTTTATCTTCACTTTTCACGGTATGCTTGTGGGCGAGTGTGCTGTGGATGTTGGGCCTGAGTGTGACTTTTACTTTTGCTTCTACCATAATATTATGATACTGTGCTGCGCTCGATCTGCAGTGAAGTTGATCTGCTCTGTTCCGCTCCCCCTTCCCGACACTATGATACTAGTTGTATATACGATTCCACTGCCTCACTGCGCTGCACTAGATACCACCACCACCCGCCCAAGTCTTGGACCTGGTTTCCCAGACGCAAGCCCACCCATCATACCAAGCCACAAACTGTAACAATATGGGATATCAAGGGTTGGGGGTTCCATCCAAGATTCTTGACAGATTACCGCCGAGCGCGTCACAATAGCCAGACACGGTCATTTCCCCTCCTCCCGAATTACCGTACTCTACATTAAAAAACCGGATTTATGTCCGGCATCGGACACTCTCACAATGCCCTATGAATTCCCATTTTCCCCCGATATAAATAGAAGAAAAAAAAAGTCATAATGGCACTATCAGATCGTAGCTATGCTACTAGTAACTCAGTAGTAGTAGTAAATAATTTCTACCAGTCCCCAAAGGTCTAAACCATCCTCATATACTCGTACATAATCATACAGCATGCAATACACTTGCACAGACATAAATATGGACGCAAACCGTACTCGCGAAAGGCATGTACAAAGCAACAAACAAACACCGGAGAGCCCCCATAAGAAAAACAAAAAAGTCAAATCCAAAGCAAAGCAGAGTGTGCAATCGCAAAAAAGGAACAAAAAAACGCCATCCTTTCCATGTTCGTGATTTCCTTTCAATAGAGAAGGAAAGAAGAAAAAACTAAACTCGTGTCCTTCTAAAACAAGAGAATCAAACAAAACAAAAAATCCTAAAGGAAAAAAGAATAGAGCGGATACAAGTAACCAGTACGTTGTCAAAAATAATAATAATATGGTAAAAAGACCAAGGCAGTGTTGGATCCTGCCAGGATCGAAAAACATTCTGCACCCGCAATCCCGACCGACCAATAATAAACTAGTAGCATATATAAAACCTGTCCTATATTATCCCAATCAGAAAAAAAAAAAAAGAGAGAAGGAAAGAAAAAGCGCAATAATAATAATAATGATGGAAGTCCAAATTATTTTCAAAAATGGAACTTGAAATCGCGAACCGAATAAACTCCGGAGAAAGAAGAGTACTTCCGAAAATGGTTGCTTGCGGGTATTCGTTTTCGCAGGGAAAAAAAAAAAAAAGAAGGGGAAAAACTTCGCCCCAGAAGAAAAAACAAAAGATGAGAAGATAATAATAATTCGCTAATAAAAAGGCCGAAAATCGGGCCCTGCCGCAGGAGTTGCGGTGAGTAATGGTTGTCTGACGTAGTGACGTCATGCTGCATTGTACTGCCATTGTCTCGGCAAATGCCATGTGATTTTTTTTTTCGTTGCTTCTACTCGAGTAGCATAAGGCGTGCAGCATGTGTACTCTATGTCTGTGTGTGTGTGTGCGTGCGTGCGTGTGTGGGTGTGTGTGTGCTTTAGATGATCGTCCAGCTTGCCGATCGTTTGCAACAAGATTTTCGAGAATGTACTTCAACGAGAAGGAGTGATCGTCGTTGTCACCATCATCATCGACAGAGCGAAGCGATTGCAGCTTTTTCTGGAAACAGCCCTATTTGTCGATACCATGCTTGACCTAGAAAAGCCATCATATTAGCAAATTGTGCCATCACATTGGGCGCGGGCCTCGGGTCCCATTTCATTGTTGTAGATCAGAATGGTGCTTTACCTTTTTGTGACGAGTAAGGGCATCTTGCCTACTAAACGTCTTTTCGTCATTACAGATCTCGCATCTGGCCTTCTGCCTGTTTGTATTGTGAATGGTATCCTCATGGCGAGTGAGGTCGTAGGGTCGGGAGAAGACAGTGTTGCAGGGCTTGTTAGTAGTGGGGTTGATCCGAGTGCACTTGTGAGGCCCGGGGTGATGAGATTTGATGCTCGAGAGTGGGGAGGATTGTCGGTGGGCTTCACGTCTGTGCTTCAACATCTTGGCGGTGGTAGGGAACCTTTGCGCGCATCCAGGGACCGTGCAAGTATAGACGCCTCTGTTAGCTTTAGACTCGGCCGGCTTCGAGTTTGGCGAGCCGGTGGGATCGTAATCGTAATCATGCTCCTCGATGACAGAAGCCTGAGAAACGGGATCGGACACATCCTCTTCGCTGTGCCTGCCCATCTGAGAATACGTGTAGGGAAAGCCAACCTGGGCGTACTGTTGGTTGGCATTACCAGCATAAAGCGGAGGATTGAAGTTCATGCTCACGTCGCTCTCCCTCCGGCTAGTGGCCATGCTGGCAAAGCTCTCCTCGGTCTTGACGCCAAAACTGTGATCAGATTGGGCGTCGTCATCACCGTGAATAGAGCTCTTGTAGCTTCCACCATGGACGCTTTCATCCTGAGAATATGCGTCGTCCCGAGGGAAAAGGCTGCCCTTGGCGTCTTCCTCCTCGGGCTCGCAATAGTCGACGCATGCGTCCTTGGGGGAAATAGTTTTGGGTGCCTCGCTGCCCTCATCAAAGCCCTGTTGAAATTGTCGGGGGAGCAGCTCGGCCTCCTGTTCCTGCTGAGCGCTAGCAGTGCCAAACCCCACGGGTAACAGGGAAGCGGTTCTCGAAGGTGACCGGGGCAGGGGGAACTGGTTGACTCTGACGGCGGCGGGGTGGAAGGGAGAGTTGGCGCGGAATGGCGAGTGGTCGCGGGTGGTCGGGGGAGTGGCATGAACCATCGAGTGTTGGGTTTGCGCCTGGTGGAGAAAGGTCGGGAGCTTGGAATTCACGCCGTTTGACTCTCGCCTCGACAGGGGAGTAACCGAAGTGCCAGGCGCAATGCCAGGATTGAAGAGCTCATCCTGCATTGCGTCCGAAATTGTTCGAGAAAGCTTAGGAGTGGGAGTGTGGATGTCTGATTCGGATCGTAAGTAATGTTCCACCCATGCTTCAACTAGGTAAGAGGTATCCTCACGAACTGCAGGCACTGGAGCACCGCATCCCTCGGCGCCATCGCTCGGGCCGGGCGAGGCAATGGGCGTAGCAGGGGAACGTAAATCCACGTCCGACAGAGAAGGCCTCGAAGAGGCAGAAAAGTGGCTCTGGGTATGAGGCGAGAGCGCTGGCGGATCCTCATCGTCCGAACCATGACGCTGTGTTTGGATCATTTGGCCCATATTCAATCCCTGGTTCCTAAACTGTGGAAGGGTTTGAAGGTATTGGTGCTGCTGCTGCTGCTGGGTGGATTGCTTCGAGAAGTCATTGCTGTTGTCGTCGGTTCGAAAGCCAGAGTAGTAGTGTAACCCGGGTCCCGGAATACGGGACTCAGAGTGTGGCACAGCCATGGGGTACCCATTTCCAAACCTCGAATTCGGGGCAGGCGAGGCCCTGTGTCCATAGGGGTGGGCCGAATCGTATCTCCGATTAACCCGCTGCTTCTCACGGTGATCCGCGGAGATACGCATTCCGTCATCGTACAACTGGAAGTCTTGCGGGGATTGTTCGGCGGACATGATGGGCACCTCTGAGCGAGAAGGGGAAGGTGACGAGGGAGTAGACAGGGTAATTGGCGAGGCGGGCTCGGAGGCTCTTTGCAGACTGAGGTGGGGGTAAGGGTTAATATTTCGGGTTGAGGGATGAGGGACCGAGGTGTAAGGAAGAGTCAAGTCTATCGAGGGCTCGCAATCGGCGAATCCGTTGTCGAACTCCTGTTGTAGCTTCTGCCTCTTCTGTGAATCGGTGAGGAAGGAAGGTGAGGAGTTGTAGGCGGAAACGAAGTGCGAAAGATCGTTCAGGAAGTAGGGAGCTGTTGTATAAAAGGAACTCTGACGAGGTGATGGTGATGGTGCTCGCATGGTAGAAGCGATGGTCGATTATGTAGTGGAGTTGGAGGGGAAATAGGCGGCTCGGGATGGGGCAAACTGTTCCTTATAAAATGCAAGCTGGGATGACGATTCGGTCTCGTGGATGCGTTCGGAACCCCGGAAGCAGAACTCTATGACGCTGTAAGCATAGGTCTTGGGTTAGATTTAAAGCAGCGAAAAGGGTTGGCAGGGCGTGTGTGTGGGAGAGGACAATGGAGGGAGAGGGTGTGAGTAATAGCTACTGCCGGGAGCAAGCTACTATTTAGAATTGAATTGAGGACTAGGGATACAGGCAAGGGGGAGCAGCAGGAAGCTGTTGGGAAAGATGTGTTCGCGTTCTTTCTCTCGTTGCATGCGCTATGCGTGTGTGTGTGTGCTCTCTAAATGGATTTGGGGAGGAGAGAGAGAGAGAGTTCTGGAACCTACTAGAAATCCACCACCCAAGCAGGGACAATGATTGCGAATGCCCCTTGGTTCGTTTTTCTCAATGGATGATTTGATCGGCGATATTATCGAGGTGCTGTCTGCGGCTGCCGTGGACTAGTGGAAGCTTGAGACTGGTAACGGTTCGCCTGCCGGTCGTCGTCGTCGTCGTGGTCCTGGTCGCGGGGCTGAGCGGCGGAGTGATCGCAGCTGAGGCAGTTGAGTATCGGTAAAGTTTGTCGGTCCGCCCCGGTCGAAGCAAGGAATTGTGTTTTTGATGTTGGAGGAAGAGGCATGGCGGCGCATCGTGGATGTAATATATGTGGGTAAAATATCCAGTGAGTTGGTAGCAGCGGTGGTGGTCGAGGTGGTGGAGGGGTGCGTCATAGTAGGATGGAGGGAAGGGATGGAAGGAAGGTTTCCGGACAAACTTGTGTGGGAGAGAGTGAGAGAAAAAATTTTGTGGAAAAAAAAAAAAGAAAAGACGGTTGCACCGTACCGGTAGCGCCCAGTGCCCGAGTACGGTACAGCACGGCATGGGATCTGCCCAAAATGCCCAGCCCCAGAGGACCCCACCATCAAGATTCAGGCAAGGCCACCAAACGGGGGGGGGGAAGGGAAAAACCTTGCGGAAAAACTATCGCAAAGGGAATCTGCGTTTCCTTTTTCTTTTTTCTTCTCCCCTCAATGTCAATCTGTGGTGAAAGATTTTCATTTTATTTTCTTTATCCCCTACCTTCTCCCAAGTATCGCGCATCCGGTAAAGCCAGACTCGCTTGGCGAGATCGGAGCGTGATGGCCCAGACAAGCAGGGCCCATTTTTAGAAAGTAGGGGAGGAGGAAAAAAAAAAAAGCATCATAATTATTATTCCATCATACTCGAGTACCGGTACAGTACGAGTACATAGATGCTCCAGTGCGGGCACCCCATACCCTGTGCCCCCCGAACCTGCACCTCCGCCATTGTGGCAGTACAGACCGGCACCCGATACTGCACCTCCTTGTCACCGAGACAAAAGCGAGGGACGGAAAATTTACTCAGCACAGGCCCGAAGCCGAGGCCCAGCGCGTGAAAATTCGGTTAACACCGAGCCCTCCTCCACCACCAGCACCACCGCATCCCCGCTCTCCCAATTGGTAATGCCACATTTACGGTACCGTACCGTACCAATTCCCCCCCTTTTTTCGCTCCACTGAAAAAGTACACTCACGCAAAACCGCGCCCCTCTTTGCCCTTACCACATCATTGCTTCCACAAGTACTCCTACATTCCCCTTCCAACGCCCGAGCGCGGTACAAGCCACAGCCGCTCCATGCGCTGGATCCCCTCCCTCCACTGCCATCCCCACCACCTCATCAATCCATCCATCGCGCGCCTGCATCTTCGTGTATCGCATGCAGTCGCTACCCCAAATCACCGCGGCACCGTACGGTACTGTACAGATTCGATTCTACCAATTCCACGGAACAGTCACTTACCGTAACCCAATCCACCAATCGACAACCCCTTGCTGATTATTTTCTTTTGCACAATTGTTGGGGAAGACGGAGCAACTGCTCGCCCCAGTTTCTGCCCGGCATCCCACTCCCCCAACAGCAACCAAAACCATGTAGACCAAACAGGCAGAGAGAGGCGGACCATACCCGGTGTGAACAAGTATCATACAGTGCATCACTACACCGCGCGGCTTTCCCCCTATTTTTGTTTTTATTGTCATTCTCCTTTCGGCCCCCCCGATTCGCCGAAGCCCGCCGGTTGTGGTGTAGTGTGCGTTGAACCCCATCTTCAGCCCATTCCCTCCCATGTACCCGCTGAACAAAGACACGGGGCGGGGCGGGGGACAGGTGGACTGGGCCTTACCGAGCAATCAAGGCAGGAGATTTAAGCCGTCCATGACGACCATAATATCATCAGGTCAGGTCAGGTCAGGTCAATCAATTCCCGCCTGAAAGTGAGTGAGTGAACGGGCAAATACGTAGTTTATCGTACTTTACACAGAGTACGGTAACCCACTCCTCCCCCCGATCCTCGCGCAACGTATAGACATCCGATCCGATATAACCCACGGTACCGTTACTAGCTAGTACAGTAACTCGAGCACCGCATATCATACCTAAGCTTACCGCACCCACGCACGATCTATCCGCTCTCTCCCTCCCTCCCTCAAAAACTCAAAAAATGCGCTTATCAGGTTGGTCCCGCAGGTCGCGGATTAATAATGGTAGGAATAACAACCCTCGGCCGAGTATGTACAAGTAGCGAAGGGAAAAAAAAAAAAAAAAAAATAACCCTTATGACGATTAACCCGATTTTTTATTTTTTTTTCTTTTACAAAGGTTTACAAAATACCTTTGCCTTACCTCACCGTATTGATTATCCCACCGTTACTGTACTCGAGTACACTGTATACTTATGCACGGGACCTCCATCATGCCACCGGGCATCCCTGGCCCCACCACCGGGCCCGATCAGGTATGTTCTGATATGCACGATATCGTAAAAGATTATCTATCTATCTACATCCTCGGTAACAAGTAGGCGTTGGTGTATTATGCTATCATAGCAATAGTAAAAAGTAAAAAGTAAGAGTACGAGTACAGTACCGTACCACCGCCGACACGATAAAAAAAAATAATAACCAATTAGCGAGCGTCATATTATCATACCTACAATCCTATTTGTCAGTCGGTCGGTCAGATGTCTCGCGTCCGCGGGGAAGAACGGACGGGCGGGCGGACGGACGGACGGACGACGGACAAAGTTACAATAATTAACGCGAGGGTGGGGAATGATACGGTAGGTACGGAATCGTCGCGTTAGAACTTTTACCGTACCGACCGAGTCTTTCCTTCCTTTCTTTCTTTCTTTCTTTCTTTCTTTCTTTCTTTCTT